TCCCTTAAATCATCAGGAAACAGAATTCTAACTTAAAGTGTCCCGAGTGAGACATATCCTTTGCTGTTCAGGCTGTAGAACCTGATGTGTTTTCTTCATGAATAGTATTAGTACTAAAGTGGCTTTGATCCTAAGTTCTGTAGTTATAGGACTCTCAATCTTTTTAATTTTTTTTTCTCTTTAGGTTTCTAGATTATTGTCGTTTAAACCACAAATATTGATTGAACACCTACCATGTGCCAGGCACTCTTCTAGGTGTTGGCGATACAGCAGTAAATAAATCAAAGTTAGAATTCATTACCCCTCAGATTTGAAGATTGTCAAATTTACAAGCAAAGCCAGTTTAACCTGACACAGCAGCTGCAGCACAACACGACAGAGCAAGGAGTAGGTATGGCTAGATTTAGGTCAACGGCTGACTTTTATTGCTACTTGATTAAAATATGAAATCATGGTAAGACCAATACAGTGTTTTCAACTTCAAAAAATGTTCATTTTTTGAATTGTTGAAATTGATGGAGGCCTTACCCACCTCACGGTGGAAAGAGTGTTAGTTTGTAAATCACAAGATATGAAGTTCTAATCCTGACTGCATCACCAACTACGTCTTTAGATGAGATCTGAACTAAAAGGTTATTAAGGTCTACTCTAGCTAAAAAATTCCTGTAAACTATGATTCGAATCTCATTACAATTTTTATTACCACTGCATGTGTAGCAACTTCAGGATTTAGGAAAATTATACTTTAACAAATACCATTGATAGCAGTACCCTGAGCAAAGATAAGTCAGAATTTAATCTGTGACAAATACCTTTTGTGTGTGTGTGTAAAGAAGAGCTGGGAAATATGTTACTGGTGGAGATAAGTTAAGACCATAAGTTATTTTCATGTTTAAATTACATCTAAAAGTGATCAAGATTTGAGATGGGTAAGGCCTCCATGAATTTCAACAAAAGTGCTTTGGTTAAATCACATATACTTACAAAGTCACATACAAGAACACTAGCTTGATTTTCAGCACAGTCTGCTCTCAGCCCAGAACCTGTGAGCTGTGTAGTTACTACTCCCCAGTGGTGGGTAAAGATAAGTTCAAGACAAGACATTTTTAATTTTTTTTTTTTTTATAGGGAGTCTCATTCAGTATCCCAGGTTGGAGTGCAGCCGCGCGTTCTTGGCTCACTGCAACCTCCGTCTCCTGGGTTCAAGCGATTCTCCTGCCTCAGCCTCCTGAGTAACTGGGATTACAGGCACGCACCACTGTGGCCAGCTAGTTTTTGTATTTTTAGTAGAGACAGGGTTTCAACATGTTAGCCAGGCTGGTCTTGAACTCCTGATCTCAAGTGATCTGCCTGCCTCGGCCTCCCAAGGTGCTGAGGTTACAGGCATGACCTACTGTGCAGGCCTAAGACATTTTTTTTTTTTTTTGAGACGGAGTCTTGCTCTGTTGCCCAGGCTGGAGTGCAGTGGCGTGATCTCAGCTCACTGCAAGCTCCGCCTCCCGGGTTCACGCCATTCTCCTGCCTCAGCCTCCAGAGTAGCTGTGACTACAGGCGCCCACCACCTCGCCCGGCTAGTTTTTTGTATTTTTTTTTTTTTTAGTAGAGACGGAGTTTCACTGTGTTAGCCAGGATGGTCTCGATCTCCTGACCTCGTGATCCACCCGTCTCGGCCTCCCAAAGTGCTGGGATTACAGGCTTGAGCCACCGCGCCTGGCCGTAGGCCCAAGACATTTTTAATTATTTTGATTGGGAAAGAACAAATCATCCCTGTGAAGGCTGGCTGAAATGATCACTCATCTAGCAAATAAACATACAGAGTTCTTACTATAGTCTGAAAACTGTGCTAGATGCTGGGAAAACACAAACCTGTTTCTTTCCCTTGGAAAACAGATATGCCAACAAGCAGTTGAACACAATGTGATAAGAACTAAAACAGGTATAAAAAGGTGGGAGCATAGAGGAGGCACTTACCAGTTCTATTTAGAGAAGTTGAGGAAAACTTCTCAGATAAATTGATATTTGGATTAGATCTAAAGGCATCTTCCCAAGGAATGAATGGGAAGGGCATTTCAGTCTGTGCAAATATGTTCAGCATGAATAAAAATGGCATGTATGGAAAATTATGGCAATGTGATCAGTTAAGCTGGAGAGGACATTGTGGGTGAGAGTGAGGAAGACTATTTTTTTCTGTTTTTGTTGAGATGAAGCAAGAGAAGGGAAATTTAAATTTAAATAAAGAAAAAACATGTTTTTTTTGTGTGTGTGTGTGTGTGAAAGGACTTGAATATACTTATATGCTGAGGGAAAGGGGTGAATGGAAAATGAGTTTTAAGATACAGAAAAGAAAGGAGATAACTGATTAAGCCAGGTCCCTGAGGAGATTGGGGAGTAGAGAATACAGGGCACACACAAGTGGACAGGAAAAAGAATACGCGAAGATGCAGATAGGACTATGAATAGGGTGTCATTAAGTTGAGAGAGTTCGCATAAACTTTATTTTCTTAGGGAAGTAGTAAGATGTTTCACCTGTCAAGAAAGAAAAGGAGAAGACTTAGAGTTGAAGGCCTGAAAGGGCAGCAAAATTTGGAACAACCATTAAAGGGAATGAAAATAAAAACTAGCAATGGCAAATCTGGGTGTTAAAGGCAAAGCTGAGACTCAAACCCATAAACTTTTAGGGACACCAATCTTTATACTTGCGTGATTTGCTTTTGGAGAATGATGGCGGGAGATGGTTGGAATACATATGACTGGAGTCTTTTGGGTTGGCTGTGATGGAAAGACAAAGAGGAAAGGAAGCTTAAGGATGCTGGCAAGAGAACGGTTTTTTTTGTTTTTGTTTTTGTTTTCTTGAGACGGAGTCTCGCTCTGTCGCCTGGGCTGGAGTGCAGTGGCCGGATCTCAGCTCACTGCAAGCTCCGCCTCCCGGGTTTACGCCATTCTCCTGCCTCAGCCTCCCAAGTAACTGGGACTACAGGCGCCCGCCATCTCGCCCGGCTAGTTTTTGTATTTTTTAGTAGAGACGGGGTTTCACCGTGTTCGCCAGGATGGTCTCGATCTTCTGACCTCGTGATCCACCCGTCTCGGCCTCCCAAAGTGCTGGGATTACAGGCTTGAGCCACCGCGCCCGGCCTGAGAACTGTTGAAACAAGGAGGGGGAGGAATAAAGAGGAGAAGGCTAACAATGTGCAGAACATGAAGAATAACAGGTGAGGTAGAAAAGAGAGGTAAAGATGGTTAGATTTATGTCAGGAGATTGCATAGCTAGGAAGAGTTAACTATATGGACTTCGAAATCTCTAAAAGATTTGGGAGAAGAGGAAGAGTGTAAACCAGTAAGAAGGTGAACCAGAAGCCAGAATCCTCCAAAAATGATTGCCAGTGATAACACAGAAGAGAGAGAAAAAAAAAAGAGGTACAATGTGGTGTAAGTCATATGACCTAGGCTTCAGATGAGATCATAGGGTCAGAAATATGGAACAAGTAATAAACCACTTTTTTGTCTTTATTTTTCTTTTAACATGTATTCAGTGAACATAATAGCTATATAAATCTTAACAGAGAAATATATGGAGGAGAAAATGTTTCTTTCCCCCACTTAGCCCTATATCCTTTGAAAGCCTTTTCAATGCATTTACATGCATACATATATAATTTTGGGGTGTTTCGACAAAAGTTGATAATGCTGTATGTTTTTTGCAGTTGGGTTTAAAAAATCTTGATCTCTTTCAATGGCTAACCCTTTAGTTCAAAACATCTCATAGTAATAGATGTGCCATTAACCATTTTTCATTGATAGATGGTCATGTTGTTTGCATTTTTTCCACTACTACAAACAATGCTGTAGTATTGTTGTACATACTTTTTTGTGCATATAAGGATTTCTTTACAATACTTATTAGTGAAACTGCTAAATTGAAGATTACGTCCAATTAATATTTTGATAAATTCTGTTAATTTCCCTTTTAAAAATGCTGTGCCAATTTACAATCCTGCCAACAGTATATGAGATTAGACCATTCCTCACGTCCTCGCCAGGGATAAATATTGTAATTCTTTTTGAAATTTAAGATATCACTTTCCAAGGTGGAGTAGACAAATTAGAGGCAGGTTTTCAACCAGTCAACAAAGCGATGAAGACTGCTGCTGTTGTAATGAGGAAGGCTTGAGTTCCTATCTCAGTTTTGCCACTTGCTATCTGTACTAAGTTACGGTGTTGTAGTTAAGTTTACTTTTGGGGCGCAGAAAGATCATATTTATGGTGAGAGTTCGGTAGCATTTATCATCATAATAGAACTGGGAGGTAATAGAGGCCATTAGATAGTTCATTATGCTTCCAATTTTATCAGGAATTGGGTTGATCGCATTTAGAGTGTATTTAACAGGATCAAAATTTCCAAAAAGATAATCGAAATACACGCTGAAAGTGTGGCAAAACATTTTAACAGGTGTCGTCCTGAAAAATTGGAGATGAAGAGTGTAAGGCACTAAATCAAGTTGGGTGTTTCCAGCGTTTAGACTCTGGAGAGTTGAAATTCACCGTGTCTATGACCAGCTCATACATCATTCTCTGTAGGTATCTCGTCTGGCATTACCGGCTGGCGGATGCCTCTTTTCTGCCAGGAGACTACAGTTGGGAAGTGACTCCTGGAAGAAAATCCGTCAGGATTCAATACGGTCCTCGTCCTCGTAGGGCACTCCAGGAACCTGCCTACAGTAAGAGGGCGCTTTTCCTAAGCACCTCTCCGGGAGAGAGATTTCCATAACGAGAGTCACGCACTTGGAGGCATCTTTGCCATTACCCAAGATGGTGAGTCGCGCAGCCTCATCGTTTCCAGGTTTCAATATGGCTTCCCGCGTCACCGAAGAGGTTAATATCAGAAACCAACTTGAACTCGCGCGGAAGTGACGCAAGCAGAAGTTGTCGCGCTTTGCATCTCCACCTCCCGCGCTCCGCCCCCGGTCTTACGTTTCGCCCCCGGCAGCGCGGACAGCGGAGCCAAGATGGCGGCCGAGTTGGAGTACGAGTCTGTGCTGTGTGTGAAGCCGGACGTCAGCGTCTACCGGATTCCGCCCCGGGCCTCCAACCGCGGTTACAGGTACTAACCCCGAGGCGCTGCCGCACACGCGTAGTCTGTCGCAGGTGACAGCTTCCTCCTCAGCTAGCACGCTGCCCGTCCCTGCCACTACTACCTCTGTATTGTCACCTTGCTAGCCTCCCTACCTGGGTTGTCATCTCCCTGACCTCCTGCTCCATCTCCACTCTGGACTGTCATCACCATATTTCTGCCGTGTTTTTTTTTTTTTTTTTTTTTTTTTAAATGACCACTCTGCATTATTCCACTCCGCCTCCCCCGTAACCCGCTGGGACACCCATCTGCTCCCCATCATCCACTTTCAGTCGTGCCTGCTCCATCGCCAGTCCCCTTTCATTCGCTCTTCTCTGCGTCCTTCAGCTTATCATCCTCATCCTCTCTCCAGTTCCCCTTTCCAGTTCCCCATGCACATTTCCAGGTCACACACCTTTCCAGTTCCCCATGCACATTTATGGGTAATCGTGTTGCTTGTCACTCTCTGGATGATCTGATTTATTTTTTGTACTGTTGTCAATTTCGTCACCAACTGTCATCATCCACCATTCGGTTTTTCCTTCAGCTGTTTTACCAGTGAGCAAAGGTTATGATCATAAGCTTTACAATGGTTGTTCATTCCGTTTCTTCTCATTGTATTTTCTTGATGATTAGATAGTATTTTCTGTCTTCCTTCTCTACCTCCCTTCTTAACCTCTCCCACACCTTTTCCCTCCAAAGTTGAGGCAGCATTTTTCTCTGTAGGGCCTAACTAACCGCCTTGTAATCCAATGACTGTGAGGTTCTGAGGATGCTGTAGGACATTATGTAGTTGAAAGACAGTTCACTGGGCTTCATGTTAAACAATATGAGTGTGAGCCCTTACCAAGCTCAGTTTTCTCATCTGTAAAAAAAAAAAAAAAAAAAAACTGTTAGTGATGATACCTGTGCTCTCCTGATAATGTACTTAACAAGGGTTTTTGGGAGAGTAAAATTAAGTCATATAATGGATGTGAAAGAATGTAGGAAATGCAGTAAAGCAGTTATAAATACTATTTGTTCGTTTTTTGTTTTTTGTTTTTTTTTTTGAGACAGAGTCTCGCTCTGTCGCCCAGGCTGGAGTGCAGTGGCCGGATCTCAGCTCACCGCAAGCTCCGCCTCCTGGGTTTACGCCATTCTCCTGCCTCAGCCTCCAGAGCAGCTGGGACTACAGGCGCCCGCCACGTCGCCCGGCTAGTTTTTTGTATTTTTTAGTAGAGACGGGGTTTCACTGGGTTAGCCAGGATGGTTTTGATCTCCTGATCTCGTGATCCGCCCGTCTCGGCCCCCTAAAGTGCTGGGATTACAGGCTTGAGCCACCGCGCCCGGCCCTTGTTCGTTTTTGTTTTTGTTTTGTTTTTTTTTTTTTTTTTTTGAGATGGAGTCTTGCTTTGTTGCCCAGGCTGGAGTGCAATGGCTCAGTCTCAGCTCACTACAACCTCTGCCTCCCTGGTTCGAGCGATTCTCCTGCTTCAGCTTCCTGAATAGCTGGGATTACAGACACGCACCACCACGCTGGGCTAATTTTTGTATTTTGAGTAGAGATGGGGTTTCACCAAGTTGGCCAGGCTGGTCTTGAACTCCTGACCTTGTGATCAGCCCACCTTGGCCTCCCAAAGTGCTGGGATTACAGGTGTGATACCGCACCCAGGCGTCGGGTTTTTTTTTTTTTTTTTTTTTAGAGAGGTAGGGTCTCATTCTATCATCTAGGCTGGAGTGCAGTGGTGCGATCATAGCTCACTGCAGCTGCGTACTCCTGGGCACAAGGGATCCTCCTACCTCAGCCTCCCAAGTTGCTAGGGCTATAGGTATTGCCTCACCATGCCTGGCTAATTTTTAAATTTTTTTGTGTAGACAGGATCTTGATATATTGCGCAGGCTGGTCTCGAATTCCTGGCCTCACGTGATTCTCCTGCCACAGCCCCCCAAAATGTTGAAATTACAGGTGTGGGCCACTGCACCTGGCCAAGATACTGTTCTTATTCTTCTCTCTGACCCACATCATCATTGTGATTTTTCCTCCTGGCATTTATCATTACCTTGGCTGAAAAATTACCCTCTCCTTATGTCTATTATTTTGCTCCTTACTGGAGTTTTATTAATCATGAATTGATATTTTTATGCTTGCTGACCTGTGCACTGGGCCCTGTGGGTTGCACCTTTGGCAAAGAGGTAGCAGTTCTGTTTTTAATAAGTTTTTAGTTGGACCCCAAACTGACCCTGAGTAGAAATCAACATGCTTTTAGATGGTAGTTACAGGTACTATATGAGTCACTTAAACATCACCTTCTTTGGGAAGCCCTATGTGACCCTTCCATTCTGGTTTAGATATGCACCCTGTGTGCTTCCATAGCATCTTATTCTTTTTTCTTTTTTTTTAACTTTAAGTTCTGGGATACATGTGCAGAATGTGCAGTTTTGTTACATAGGTATGCATGTGCCATGGTGGTTTGCTGCACTTGTCAACCTGTCACCCTCGCCCCTACCCTGAGAGGCCCCAGTGCGTGTTGTTCCCCTCCCTGTGTCCATGCATTCTCATTGTTCAACTCTCACTTGTGAATGAGAATGTGTGGTGTTTGGTTTTCTGTTCCTGCATAGCACTTTGTTCTTGTCTCTATTCCAGGGCTCTTCATTTTGTATTGTAATGGATTGTTTAGTCTCCTTTTTTCTCCAGACTGGACTGTGAACAACTTGAGATCTTTTTAACTTTACATTCCCAGGGTCTAGTACCGTATCTGGTACACTTTGGGCACTCTGTAAATGTTGACTGAAAGAAGAAATCAGTAGATTACACAGAGAAACCTAATCACATAAATTGGCATTAATTGAACTGTTAAAAAGGTCAAATAGCTCATTACTTCCAACTTTAGGAGTTAAGGATATGATACACATTGAAGTGGGATTATATTCTTTTTCTTCAAGTTTTTTTTTTTTGAGATGGAGTCTCACTCTGTTGCCCAGGCTGGAGTGCAGTGGCACAATCTCAGCTCGCTACAACCTCCACCTCCCCGGTTCAAGTGATTTTCCTGCCTCAGCTTCCCAAGTAGCTGGGACTACAGGTGCACACCACCATGCCTGGCTAATTTTTGTATTTTTAGTAGAGACGGGGTTTCACTATGTTGGCCAGGCTGGTCTCAAACTCTTGACCTCGTGATCCGCCCGCTGTGGCCTCCCAAAGTGCTGGGATTACAGGCATGAGCCACTGCGCCTGGCCCACTTCAAGCTTTTTAAAACACCTTGCCTCTCTCACCCATATGCATTCTCTATCTTCACTTCCTAGTTTTCCACAACCTTTATACTTACATCAGTTAACTGCACTGAGCCATTAAAGCAGTTTCTTAATTTTCCTCTTTTTCCTGTTATACTTCTGTGTTTTTCATGCCTATTGGCTTTTTTTTATCCTCCAAGAGACATGTTATCATCAGTCACTTTTTTAGTATAGTACATGAAGAGAGCAGAATTAAGTTTGAATAACAATATTTATTTGCTGGGTCACTTTTGGCAAATCACTTACCACTTTTGAATGTTAGTTTCTTCTTTTGTAAAAATGACTGTAACAGTACTTACCTTGTAGGATCCTCTCACTTAATTTTTCTTTCTTTCTTTTTTTTTTTTTTTTTTGTTGAGACAGAGCCTTGCTCTGTCACCCAGGCTGGAATGCAGTGGTGTGATCACGGCTCACTGCCATCTCTGCCTCCCAGATTCAGGCGATTCTTGTGCCTCAGCCTCCTGAATAGCTGAGATTACAGATGTGCGCCGCCATGCTCGGCTAATTTTTTGTATTTTTAGTAGAGATGGGTTTTCACCATGTTGGCCAGGCTACTCTTGAACTCCTGGCCCTCAGGCAATGCACCTACCTCAGCCTCCCGAAGTGCTGGGATTACAAGCATAAGCCACTGTGCCGGGCCCTCTAACTTAATTTTCACAAGAATGGACATGATGCCTGGCACATAATAAATGCTTGATAAATGGTAGTTTTCTTGTTGTCTGCATAATCTTTCTTGTTTACCAGAACCCACTTTATATTATAAGCAGGATTTATTCTCTAGGCTGACATTAAAGGACAAACTGGCCTTTTCAGAAAGCAGGAGGAATTTTTCCTTTGAGTGACTGATAAGATTAAAGAGAATAATTGACTTTAATTCACCTAGTGTAAGCTGTTCGTTCCCGGACTTTCACTGACCAGACTTCTAGACTATAAGAAGGAAAATTGGGGTTGAGAAGAAACTTATTAGGCTGAGTGTGGTGGCTCACGCTTGTAATCCCAGGACTTTGGGAGGCCGAGGCGCACGGATCACTTGAGGTCAATAGTTCCAGACCAGCCTGGCCAAGATGGCGAAACCCCGTCTCTACAAAAATACAAAAAAATTAGCCAGGCGTGGTGGCGCCCGCCCGTAGTCCCAGGTGCTTGGGAAGCTGAGGCAGGAGAATCGCCAGAACCCGGGAGGCGGAGGTTGTAGTGAGCTGAGATCATGCCACTGCTCTCCAGCCTGGGCGACAGAGCACGACTCCGTCTCAAAACAAACAAAAAAACTTAAAAATGCTTAGAAAACAGTCTGGACGCGGTGGCTCACTCCTGTAATTCCAGCACTTTGGGAGGCCAAGGCGGGCGGATTACCTGAAGTCAGGAATTTGAGACCAGCCTGGCCCACATGGTGGAACCCCATCTTTGCTAAAAATACAAAAGAAATTAGCTGGGCATGGTGGCCCGGGCCTGTAATCTCAGCTACTTGGGAGGCTGAGGCAACAGAATCGCTTGAACCCAGGAGGCGGAGGTTGCAGTGAGCCAAGATCGCGCTAGCGCACTCCAGCCTGGGTGGAAGAGTGAGACTCTATTACACACACACACACACACACACACACAAATAAATGGTTAGAAAACACTTCCAACCTGTAAAACTTTTTAAAAAATATTCGTCACTACCCTCTTCCCTTAGCTAAATCAGTATTAACCTCTATAATGTGTTTCAGTGTAAGGAAAGAATAATGGACTTTGAAGTTAGGCATTATTACTGTGTTTTCCTTTCCATCATTTAGAGAGAGAGAGGTATGATAGGCTTTTCATGCCTACTTCACATAGCTACTATAAGGACATAATAAAATGTACACGTGGAATCTTACTGTGAATCATCATAATGATTTTTTTTTTAATATATATGAAGTTTTATTACTAAGGTAAATGAAAATTTGTGAGGTGAGTTTAAAGTATTGTCAGAGGACCAGCAAAATCAAGAGTTCTTTAGATTAGGTCTTGGAGTAGGAAAGGAATTAAGTCTCAAGGCTGAGGGAATCTGCTGCCACTTATATCCATTTACTTACAGAATTTATTAAATATTGGGCACTAGATACACAAGATAAACAAGGAACTCATCCATGAAAAACACATTTAATAGGCTTGTTCCTAATTCTTTTTTTTTAGAGACAGGGTCTCACCCTGTCGCTCAGACTGGAGTGCAGTGGGGCGATCATGGCTCACTGCAACCTCAAATTCTTGGGCTCAAGCAGTCCTCCTGCCTTGGCCTCCCAAAGTGCTGGTGTTATAGGTGTGAGCCACCGTGCCTGGCTGTTCCTAATATTTTTAATAGCCCATTTACATTAGCTTTTGGTGGCATGATTATAATAAGTAATGACTCATTAAAAAAGTGTAATAGATGAGGAACTTTAGAGCTCTGTAATCTGGATCAGATTTAGGTACTTGAGAGTCTTTGAGGGCAGGGAATCAAGAGCGAAGAGAATGGGAAGGATTTATTTTACAGATCCTGTTCAAAACCTGTGCTAATTTTCACTTTCATTTTCTTCCTTTCAGCTTTTTACGTCTCATCTTGTTAAACTCATTCTTGTTCATATATACCTTATTGTTGCTTTTCTAGCCCTTAAGTATTAGTCATTGGTTTCCTAAAAGAGGAATTATTAATAACTTTTACTTTGCTAATCTCTTTTCCATACTCCTGGCAAAACAAATCACAGATACAATGTTTTGTAAAATTCATCATAAATAATCTTAGTTGTTGTTCAAGTTGATGATAACACATTTTATAAATTTCTAATGTTTTCATGGATGTTTGTATCTCCAGCCCAGATGTCTTTCTTGAACTCATCTCATATATTTTATTGCCTACTCTACATCCCTTGAAAATCTATGAGACATCTCAAACTCAGCATATTTAAAACTGAATCCCTGATCCTTCTTCCTAGACATGTTCCACCTCATCTCAATAACTGGAAACTCCTTTGCTCAGGCTAAACACCTTGGAGTTGTCCTTGACTTCTCTTTGTGTCCTCTATCCCATATCTAATCCATGAGAAAATCCTGCTGCTTGTACCCTAAATATATCCAGAATCTAGCCACTTCTGCTACCATTGTGACTTTTCTAGATTACTGCAGTAGTCTCTTAGCTAATCCCACTGCTTCAGTCCTCTTATCCCTACAGCTTTTCTCCAGACAGCAGATGTAGTAATCTTTTTAGAATATAAGGGAGATCATGTCACACCTCTGCTTAAAATTTGTAGTAGCTCTTTTTTCACTCAGAGTGAAAGCTAAAGTTGTTCCTATGGCCCACAAGGCCCTGCATGATCTGGCCCTCTGTTACCTCTCCTACCTTGTCTCTTACTCTGTTCTAACCACAATGGCTTCCTTGCTGTCTCTCAAACATGCCAGGCATGGCCCCACCTCAGCACCTTTGGGCTAGCTGTTCCCTATGTCTAGAATGCTTTTCCCCCTAGATATCTGTATGGGTAACTCACTTGCTTCACATTTTAGTTCACATTTCACCTTAATGAGACCTACCCCAACCACCCTCTTGAATGCTACAACCTGTTCATTCTCCCACTGTCTTCTCAATCTTCCTAATTTGCCTCTACATTTTCTTTTTACCTTAGAACTTACCACTTTCTAAGATACTAATTATGCTGTTTATTTTGTTTCTTTTTTATTTTCTATCTTCTATTAAAATGTAAGCCTCATGAGGGTAGGAATCTTTGTTTTGGTTGCTGTTGTATCCCAAGCATCTAGAACAGTGGTGCCTCTGTCTTAATAAGTATTGTATAAATATTGATTGAATTCAGTGAAAGATAGTATATTTAGTGATTTGGGAGGGCTCCCATTATCTAGGATATTTAATTTAGTAGACTTTGTTGTTATCTGATTAGTAAAGCATTTTTATCTAGTATACCATCTATAGTATGAAAATAGCATTGTTATGAGAAATTTTATTTATTTATTTATATGAGACCAAGTCTTGTTGTGTCACCCAGGCTGGAGTGCAGCGGCATAATCTCGGCTCACCGCAACTTCCACCTCCCAGGTTCAGTTGGTTCTGCCTCAGCCTCCGGAGGGATTACAGGTGCACACCACCATACCCAGCTAATTTTTGTATTTTTAGAAGATGGGGTTTCACCATGTTGGCCAGGCTGGTCTCAAACTCCTGACTTAAGTGATCCATCCACCTTGGCCTCCCAAAGTGCTGGGATTACAAACTTGAGCCACCACGCTCAGCCAGAATTTTATTTTTTATTGCTTTTATTCGTGCTTTTACATCTTTTTAATGATGCTTATTGGACTCCAAAGTCCTCAAGTAGTAGCATTGTCTTTTACTTGCTTTGGACTATATGTAACATGAGGCATCTAAATATATCATGAATTATTCTTGTTGATTAATAGGTAGAAAGAATAGGTAATCCAGGACAGGGAAATAGAAATACAGTAAAAGATTCTGGGTAGGCTTTAGTAAATTAAGGACATGTGCCTGAGCCTTCCTTTTTTCCTCTCCTAGGGCATCTGACTGGAAATTAGACCAGCCGGATTGGACTGGTCGCCTCCGAATCACTTCAAAAGGGAAGATTGCCTATATCAAACTCGAGGATAAAGTTTCAGGTAATCTTCACTAGTGACCCTCTAACATTAAGGATATTAATTTGGTGTTCTTTTATAAGTACCTTCAATTTGGGGACTGGAATGGAAATACTTGTTAATTGGAGTTCTGGATTTTGGCTTCCTTTGCTCAAAAAAGTCTTTCTCTTATCTGTCAGGGGAGCTTTTTGCTCAGGCTCCAGTAGAACAATATCCTGGTATTGCTGTGGAGACAGTGACAGATTCCAGCCGCTACTTTGTAATCCGGATCCAGGATGGTACTGGTAAGAGAACTGGGATTGTGAATGGAATGAAGTTAGGAAAACAGGTGAATGCACGGCCATGAAAAGTGTGTCCAATTGCATTTATATTTCTTTGGTTTACTTCATTTTTTTCTTCCCTTTCTCTAAAGTTACTATAGTTGCTAAAGGAAAAGTATTAACGTGTTATTTGTAATAGATATGAGCACAAGTTCAAGATGTGGTAATTCATATGTAGACTTAAATAAATCAAAACGCCACATCTAACAAAAGAATTAACACATTTTGCACTTTGGGAGGCCAAGGCGGGTGGATCACTTGAGGTCAGGAGTTCAAGGCCAGCCTGACCAATATGATGAAACCCCACCTCTACTAAAAATACAGAAATGGCTGGGCGCGGTGGCTCAAGCCTGTAATCCCAGCACTTTGGGAGGCCGAGACGGGCGGATCACAAGGTCAGGAGATCGAGACCATCCTGGCTAACACGGTGAAACCCCGTCTCTACTAAAAAATACAAAAACCTAGCTGGGCGAGGTGGCGGGCGTCTGTAGTCCCAGCTATTCGGGAGGCTGAGGCAAGAGAATGGCGTGAACCCGGGAGGCGGAGCTTGCAGTGAGCTGAGATCCGGCCACTGCACTCCAGTGTGGGCGACAAAGCGAGACTCTGTCTCAACAAAAAGAAAAAAAAAAAAAAAAAAATACAGAAATTAGCTGGGCGTGGTGGTGCGTGCCTGTAATCCTAGCTACTCGGGAGGCTGAGACAGGAGAATCGCTTGAATCCGGGAAGCAGAGGTTTCAGTGAGCTGAGATCATGCCATTGCACTCCAGCCTGGGCGACAAGAGCGAAATTCCATCTCAAAAAAAAAGAAGAATGAACACTTTTTGCCCATTTATTGTTTGTGGTAGTTTTTGGTGGGGCAAAACTTGAATCATATTATGTGTGGGGCAGTTATTCTCACTCTTTTCTCCATGGTCTATAACAAAGATTGGCAAACAGACAAATAATAAATATTTTAGGTTTTGCAGGTCAAATGGCCTCTGTTGCAACTACTCAGTTTTGCTGTTGCAGTGTGAAAGCACTGTAAAAATAAATAAACACGTTGATATTGACTATGTTCCAGTGAAACTTTTTCTGGAAAACCAAGCTATGGCAGGATAAAGCATGTGGACTCTATGTAGTTTATCAACTCTTGGTCTGTGAGAAGATGTTTCACAGTCAGACTTTGTCTAGTTAGGGTGACTGTTATATTTTCATTGGGCAGAATTTGCCATAGAGCAGCAGTCCTCAACCTTTTTGGCACCAGGGACCCATTTTGTGGAAGACAGTTTTCCACAGACCGGCATTAGGGGATGGTTTCAGGATGATTCAAGTACATCATGTTTATTGTACACTTTATTTCTATTATTACATTGTAATGTATAATGAAATAAGTATACAACTCACTATAATGTAGAATCAGTGGGAGCCTTGAGCTTGTTTTCCTGCCACTAGACGGGGGTAAGGGGAGACCCCCATCTAGGGGTGATGGGAGATAGTGACAGATCATCAGGCAGCAGATTCTCATAGGGAGCACATAACCTAGATCCCTCACATGTGCAGTTCACAGTAGGGTTCACACCCCTCTGAGAATCTGATGCTGCCACTGATCTGACAGGAGGCAGAGCTCAGGTGGTAATGCAAGCAACAGGGAGTGGCTGTAAATACAATGGAGCTTTGCTGTCTTGTGTGCAACTCACCTCCTGCTGTATGGCCTGGTTTCTAACAGGCCATGGACTGGTCCCAGGGGCTGGGGACTCTTGCCATAGAAGATACTTCCTATTCGAGTCTTCCTACCTTTTCACAGGGCGCAGTGCTTTCATTGGCATTGGCTTCACAGATCGGGGAGATGCCTTCGACTTTAACGTCTCCTTGCAGGATCACTTCAAGTGAGTGAAACTTGTCCTTAGTTCCCCGGTTGAATGCTTATAGGCATGCTGCTTCTCACATGAATGGGCAGTGTCTCTTTTCCTCCTGGTTTCTTTATTTCTTAAACTGTTTCATCATGATTATAAATCTCCCCATTCGCTTTTGTTTCCTTCGGTCATCTTTGCATCTATTCTATGTTTCCTTTCCTTATAGCCTGCAGTATGTTTTAGATCCCTTGTGCAGTAGTCTGAAATGATGCTCTGTCGAATTTGCCCCGTCTTTTTTCTTTTTTTTTTTAAACTTTTAATTAAAAAGTAAACTTTAATGTCGAAAATACAAACTTGGGGAAGGCAGAAAGGTGACACACAAGGCTGTCACTTCACACTTGGAAGGTTGCACAGCAGCTGGGCAGAGGTGCTCCTCACTTCCCAGATGGGGCGGCAGTTGGGCAGAGGCGCTTCTCACATCCCAGACGGGGCGGCAGTTGGGCAGAGGTGCTTGTCACTTCCCAGATGGGGCGGCGGTCGGGCAGAGGCGCTCCTCACTTCCCAGACAGTGGGCAACTGGACAGAGGCACTCCTCACATCCCAGACGGGGCGGTGGCTGGGCAGAGGTGTTCCTCACTTTCCAGACAGGAATTTGCCCCGTCTTTTAGGTGGTAGAGGGAGGTCTACAGTAACAACAGGGCTTTATGTGGGGAGTTGTGTGCCACTCTTGTTACCTTGTGTAGCTGACGTGTTTTGTGACTTTTGCAGTATTTCTTTAGCCTGCTTGATTTTGTTGCCGCTGTGGTTGACAGCACTATGCACAGTCAGCTTCCTACCTCAAGAGCAAGCATATCCTTTTCTGCCTCAGGACTCTTTGAAGTTGTAGAAGGCTAAGAGCAAGGTTTAACTTGGAAAGATTAAGAAACTAACACCCCCTCAGGAGCAGCCCCCAACTGTGGGGAATGGGAATTGGTGGCTAAATGCCATCCTTTTGGAAGGGGCAAGTCTGATATGTATTCTGTGAGATTTCTCAGAGGGCCCCCAATGGGATTGAACTCCAGTTGTTTTCTTTCTTGGCTTTTTTTTCTCACTCTTTTTTATCTCTCACTGTGCTTTCTGGAATCCCATTTCATAAAAGTAAATACACCCAAATTTGTATGTCAGACTCTGCTTTCAGGAAATCTCAAACTAAGATAACTTGCTCTGTTCCCAAAGGTGGGTAAAGCAGGAATCTGAGATTTCCAAGGAATCTCAAGAAATGGACGCTCGTCCTAAGTTGGATCTGGGCTTCAAGGAAGGACAAACCATCAAGTTGAGTATCGGGGTGAGTATGGTTTTGAAAAATTTTGTTTTCCTGTGCTTCCGTAAGCCTATCACATCTTTCTCTTGCTCTCCTTTTTTTCTTTTGTAGAACATTACAACCAAGAAAGGAGGTGCTTCTAAGCCCAGGACTGCAAGGGGTGGGGGCCTGAGCTTACTCCCACCCCCGCCAGGAGGCAAAGTCACTATTCCCCCACCGTCCTCCTCAGTCGCCATCAGCAATCATGTCACCCCACCACCCATTCCGAAATCTAACCATGGAGGCAGTGATGCAGGTAAGTCTGATACTTCTAATTTTGAGAAATCCAATCTTATATTTTAATTAAGTAACACCTGTTTGTCAAGGAGAGTTAATGTTTTTGCTATGAAATAGCTCATGGTACTGACAAGGTGATTCTGGCAGCTTCTAGCAAGGAATCAAAGCTTTTCTGGTAAACTAAGAGTCGTAGTATCTCGTAGGTTCTTTGGCAGAAAATATGTGCTTATTAAAAAGACAATTTCCTTCACTTTTTTCTTGGTTAGATGTTTATAAGCTTTTGAGTCAGATGGACCAAGATTTTGGTCATGGCTCTGCTACTTTATATTTGAATGTGCTTGGTAAACATTACTTCAGTTTTTTGAGTCTCAATTTCCTTATCTACAAACTGGAGATGTAAAACCACCCCTGCAGGGACCTTGGCTCACGCCTGTAATCCCAGCACTTTGGGAGGCTGAGATGGGTGGATTGCTTGAGCTTAGGAGTTTGAGATCAGCCTGGGCAACATGACGAAACCCCATCTTTGCAAAAAAATACAAACATTAGTTGGATGTGGTGGTGCACGCCTGTAGAACCAGCTATTTGGGAGGCTGAGGTGGGAGGATGGCTTGAGCCTGGGAGGTTGCAGTGAACCATTATTGCGCCACTGTATTCCAGCCTGGGTGACAGAGTGAGACCTTGTCTCATAAAAAACAAACAAACAAACATAAATAAATAAATAAATAGATAGATAGATAGATAGATAGATAAAATAAAAAAAATTACCATCCCAATGTTGTGAGGGGCTAAATGATTTGACAGCACCTAGCATAGCACTTGGAACATGGTAGCCATTTAGTAAATGTTATTTCTTAAACCTTCCCATTTCTTCACAAGAACAATTGGGAGAAAAGGAGATTTGTCCATACATTTTCATTCTTTTTTTCTGTCTGGTGGGAGAAAGAATAAATATAGTTACATCTTCTCATTTGAAAAGTGAGAGCATTGGAACTGAGAAAAGAAATTTTCTAAGATTAGGGAACTATGTCTTAGAATCTGAGAATTTTAACTTAATGTATTGGACAATGCAGATAATTTGTTGAATTGATTACTAAGGCTAAGCTTTCTCTTTCTGGAATTTTTGAGGTGAAAATGTTACAGCCTGCTTCTTTTGGTAGGTGTTGCCAGAAGGCACTGGGGATAGTATCTAAGATTTTTTTTTAATTAAATTATTATTTTGAGATAATTGTAGATTAACATGCAGTTGTAAGAAATAATATGAAGAGATCCTGTTTACCCTTTTCCCAGTTTCGCTCAATTGGTAATATTTTGTGAAACTATTGTCAATTATCACAAATCAAAAATTGACATTATACCACTTTCTCATCTTACTCAGCTTAAACCATTTTACATGTTCTTATCTGTGTGTATTTGTGTGGATCTGTATATTTAGTTCTATGCAGGTTTTTTTGTTTGTTTTTTTATTTTTTGAGACAGGGTCTTGCACTGTTGCTCAGGCTAGTGGTGCAGTCATAGCTCACTGCAGCCTCAAACTCCTGAGCTCAAGAGATACTTCTGCGTCAGCCTCCCAAACATCTAGGACTACAGGTGCACACTGCCACACCAAGCTAATTTTTAAATTTTTTGTAACAACAGAGTCTCACTATGTTGCCCAGGCTGGCCTCAAACTTCTGGGCTTCAGTGATCCTGCCTTGGCCCCCCAAAATGCTGGGATTACAGATGTGAGCCACTGCATCTGGCCAGTTCTTTGCAGTTTTGTCGTGTGTAGGTTGATGGATCCACCATCATTTCAGGCTATAGAACAGTTTAATCACTACAAAGATCCCCTGTGTCAGCCTTACACAACCACACCCATCTCCCTCTCATCCTTTCTTCCCCCATTCCTAACACTTGACAATCACCAGTCTATTCTCCATCTTTAGAATTTTGTCACTTCAGGAATGTTCTGTGAAAGGAATCATACAGCATGTAACCTTTGGGACAGGCTTTTCCCACGCAGCATAATTCCCTTGAGATTCATTCAAGTTGTGTATATCAATAGTCTGTTCCTTTTTATTGCTGAGTAGTATTCCATGGCATGGATATACCAGTGTGAGTAACTATTGCCCAAGGAATGACATCTAGGTTGTTTACAGTTTTTGACCATTATGAGTAAAGCCGCCGTGGCATTTTTGTACAGATTTTTTGTGTGAACATAAATTCTCATTTCCTAGATTTTGATGATGTTTTTCTTTTTTCTTTTCTTACCTTGTGTTTAGATATCCTTTTAGATTTGGATTCTCCTGCTCCTGTCACGACACCAGCACCAACTCCAGTTTCTGCAGGCAATGACTTGTGGGGAGATTTCAGCACTGCATCCAGGTGACGGGCGCAGTGAAACTAGCGCACTCGCAATCAGGGTGTAGAAGATATGTGCAGTCAATTGAAATCTTTGATCTGGAGAAGCAATGGATATGCAGGTCACATAGAGTCTTTTGGAGGAGTTATAGTGAAGGAAATATAGTAGTGCTGGGAATGGTGGGACAAGAAAGCTGTAGGATGAGGTTTGAATGGGATATTTCAGGCCTTGGTAAGTAGAATTGCCATGAAGTGTAGTTTTGGAAATTCTAGGCAGTGATTTCTTAGAAACTATTAAGTAAAGAATGGAGTTGTTATCCTAATATGATGTCTTTGACTTTCTCTATTCTTCTGTCTTGCAGCTCTGTTCCAAACCAGGCACCACAGCCATCCAACTGGGTCCAGTTCTGAATGGCATTGGCAGGACATTAAGGACAGACTTGAGGAATAAAAATGACCTTGAGGGCACCAATCTGTGAGGGAAGTTAGGAACCCATTTCCTCCCCAGAACCAAAATGACTGGACAATCTTTTTCATAGCTTCTCCATTACATTCAAGCTGGTTTATGTCACTCCCCTGTGTTGTTACTTGTGCAGCCAAGAAAGTATCTGTTATCTCCCGCTTAGTACCAAGGTAGGGGACTAGTGGATCTTATCATAGTCTTGGCTGACCATGCAGGGCTCAAAAGGCCAGCGTCTGAGGGGGAATGACCTCTAACATCTGTAAAATTTGTCTCATCTTTTAAATTCTTTAACTTATTTCAAAATCATCTCATGGCCCTTGTGTGCCTCTTTGTGAAGCCCTATTTAGCAATTTCAGGGGAGTCAAAAACCTTGCAACTTCCTTCTCCACTAACCCAGGACTAAAAATGGACAGGCTGACCTCAGTGTTTACAAATTCAGAATTTTGATAGGGGTAGATATGGAGAAAGGCCTATTTCCTGGGTCTCTGCTGTGTAGCCTCCTTCAGGCTTATTGTACTCAGTGAACATCCAGTGCTGGGTGCAGCTCCATCGCCCTCTTGTGTGTTTACATGTCTCTTTCTATGATAAGAGGGTTGTGTTGGTGGCACCTCCACTATTCTTTTCTGTTTGTTGAATTTGAATTGTGTAACATCTTTGACCAGTGGGTGTCTCTGTAATGAAGGAGGTTCAAGAGGCTGTGCTTTCCAAGTGATAGTCTATAGGAGTGTTTAATTTCTTGCAGCTCCATCTGGTTGCTGCATTTGAAGCATGGCATTAATTTGTATTTGCCCTGTTATTTGACCTAAAGTTGAAGGGTTTAGAGTTTTTAACCTGATCTGTAGAGCAGAGAGGTTGAAAACACTTAACTCTTGTTTAGTACCCTCATTGCCTTGCTGCCTGGGTATCTGGCCCCTTTCCATAAACATTTCTTTTCAGTTCATGTAGTTCTTTAACAGAAAGCTGCTATTATGTATATTGTCATTTGTGAAGGAAGTTGGAGAGTCACAGCTTTACTGTGACAGGTTTTGCGCAAGGCTTTGATACCTGTCACCCATTGTATCTTAAAAGCAAGTTGTTCTCCCACTACTTTCCTTTCCCTCTGCCCTGCCATTCCTTTTACAATGCTGTGAAAAAAGTTGTGCTTCTTAGGTGAGTGGGTACTTTCTATTTTGTTTCTCAATGAGCAATTTTGAGGATGAAATGGGAAGATATAATTGCTTCCCTTTTGCACCTATTTGGGTATGTACACTCTGGCAGAAGGGAGTCCTTAGGTTTAGTTTCAAAATATATTACCTTCCTGGATTCCCTTCTTAACTTTTTCTGACTTGGGTCCATTTTCTTTTCATTGCCTCCTTTTCCAGGCAGCTCTATTCTTGCAGAGCCATGGCAGGACATATTAAAATTCCAATAGAGAACACTAAAAGGAAAGTCTGTGGAATCACTAGTGACTAAATACTGGGAACCTATTTTCTCTATCTTCCTCCATGTTGTGTTCTTTGTATTATCAAGATGATAATATATTATGTATTTGCATTCCTGAAAAATGGAAAATGTTTAAGATATATGTATATAAAGCATATGCTGTATTGGTGCAATAATGGTAATTAAAAATATGAAAAAAGTGTCTCTTTTATCTTTTAATTTGCTTGTTTGATTACCTTTTAAATTGAATCGACCAAACATAAATGGACCAGTAGGTAATAAAGGATATTTATATCACTCTTTATTAAGAAATAAGGCTTTTAAGAAGTTGAGACTAGAGCTTTGTGCTCATGGTCCTAAAATGACAGAGCACTCTGTGTAATCAATGAATATTCATTATTTATTTTCTGGTGCAGTTAATTTGCTTCCAATTATCTTCATGATCTAGGCCACTTCTTATATCTTAACTGTAATCAGCAGAAATGACAGGGATCAGTATAAGAGAAAGAACTAAGGTCAGAGCCACAGACTTTGGAAACCAGAAAAGATCTTGGGAGTTCTTGTTCAGTGATTGTCACAGGAGATAAATTAGCTAGATGTGGTGGTTTACTTCTGTAATTCCAGCACTTTGAGAGGCCAAGGTGGGAAGATTGGTTGAAGCCAGTTCAAGACCAGCCTGGGCAATATAGCGAGATCTCATCTCTACAAAAAATATAAAAGTTAGCTGGGCATGGCAGCATGTGCCTGTAGTGCTAGCTACTTGGGAGGTTGAGGTGGGAGGATCACTTGAGCCTGGGAGGACGAGGCTGCAGTGAGCTGTGATTGTACTACGGTACTCTAGCCTCGGTGATAAAATGAACTTTCTCAAAAAAAAAAAAAAAAAACACCAAAAAAAACCAAAACAAAACATGAATCAAGGCTGGGCACAGTGGCTTATACCTATAATCCCACACTTTGGGAGGCTGAGGCGGGTGGATCACTGGAGGTCAGGAGTTTGAGACCAGCCTGGCCAACATGGTGAAACCCTGTCTCTACTACAAATACAAAAATTAGCTGGGCGTAGTGGTGGGTGCCTGTAATCCCAGCTACTCTAGAGGCTGAGGCAGGAGAGTCACTTGAACCTGGGAGGCAGAGGTTGCAGTGGGTGAGACTGCACCACTGCACTCTAGCCTGGGTGACAGTGAGACTCCATCTCAAAGAAACAACAACAACAAAAAAACCAAAAAACCCTCCCTTGAAAACTAAAACTATAGCTACAATAATTTGTTAGTGGATATGTGGTATAAAAAGATAAAAATTGGTATCAAAAACAAAATGTGGCTGGGTGTGATGGTTCATGCCTGTAATCCTAGCACTTCGGGAGGCTGAGGCGGGAGTATTGCTTGAGACCAGGAGTTCAAGACCAACCTGGCCAACATAGTAAGACCCTGTCTCTAAGAAAAAACAAAAATTATAGATGGGATGGAAATTTAAAGTGCAGAGTTTTTGTATGTGATTTAAATTATCAGCTTAAAATAGACTGTTAAAAAGTGTTATGTAAACCTCATGGTAATCACAAAGCAAAAACCTACAGTAGATACACCAAAGATAAAGAGAACAAAGTACTGTAGAAAAATCATCAAATAACAAAGGAAGAGAGCAAGAGAAAATATTAATGATTATTTTGAATGCAAAATGGATTACATTCTCCAATCAAAGGACAGAGTGGCTAAATGAATTAAATAAACAAGACTCAACTGTATTCTGCCTACAAGAGCGTCACTTCACCTATAAGGAAACATACAGACTGAAAGTGAGGCATGGAGAAAGATATTTCATGCAAATGGACACCAGAAGAGAACAGGGGTAGATATATTACTATATAGTCCCTCCTTATCTGAGGTTTTGTTTTCTGTGCTTTCAGTTACCTGTAGTCAACCATGCTTTGAAAATACTAAGTGGAAAATTTCAAAAATTATTCATAGGTTTAAAAGTGGCACACTGTTCTGAGTAGTGTGATGAAATCTCACACCATCCTACTTTGCCCTGCCCTGGATGTGAATCATCCTTTTGTCCAATGTATCCATGCTTTATACATTACCTACCTATATGACACTTAGTAGTCCTCTCGGTTATCTGATCGTTGTGGCAATGCAATGCTTGTACAAGTTCAGTTAACCCTTGTTTTATTTAATAGTGGCCCCAAAGCACAAGAGTAGTGACTCTGGCATATTGTTATATTTATTCTGTTTTATTATTACTTATTGTTAATCTCTTGCTGTGCCTAATTTATAAACTAAACTTTAGCATAGGTGTGTATATATAGGAGAAAACATAATGTATATAGGGTTCAGTACTATCTGTGGTTTCAGGCATCCATGGGGGATCTTGGAATGTATTCCCTGAGGATAAGGGGGAAATACTGGATGTATTTCAGACAAAATAGACTTTTAAGTCAAAAGCCATAACAAGAGTGAGAGACAGGGTCATTACATAAATGTCGAAGAGGTAAATTTTTTTTTTTTTGAGACAGAATTGCCCTCTGTCACCCAGGCTGGAGTGCAGTGGTATGATCTCAGTTCACTGCAACCTCTGCCTCCTGGGTTCAAGTGATTCTTCTGCCTCAGCCTCCTGAAGCTGGGACTACAGCCACGTACCACCATGCCTGGCTAATTTTTGTATTTTTAGTAGAGATGGGGTTTTGCCATGTTGGCCAGGCTGGTCTTGAACTCCTGACCTCAAGTGATCCACCCACCTCGGCCTCCCAAAGTACTGGGATTACAGGTGTGAGCCATTGCACCTGGCCCAAAGAGGTAAATTCATCAAGATGATATAACAATTATATGTGCATTTAAGATTGGAGCATCAAAATATATAAAGCAAATAACAGATTTTTTAAAAAAGAGAAAGCAAGTTTATTAAGAAAGTAAAGGAACAAAAGAATGGCAGAACAGCCCTCTTAACAGACTTGAAGAGGGAAATAGACAGCAATAGAATACCCCACTTTCAACAATGGATAGGTCAGACAGAAAATCAAAGAGGAAACATTGAACTTGAACTGCACTTTGGACAATATGGGCCTAAGAGACATATACATAACATTTATTCAACAGTAGCAGAATACACATGCTTCTCAAGTGCACATGGAATGTTCTCCAGTATAAATATGTTTGGTCACAAAACAAGTCTTAACAAATTTAAGATTGAAATCATGTTGAGTATCTTTTGACTATAATAGTATGAAATTAGAAATCAATAACAGGATGAAAACCAGAACATTCACAAATATGTGGAAATTAAAAAGTTTCCTGAACAACCGATGGGTCAAAGAATCAAAAAGAAAAAAAAAATGTCTTGAGACAAATTAAAGTGGAAACACAGCATATCAAAATTTATGGGATGCAGCGAAAGTAGTTCTAAAAGGGAAGTTTATAGTGCGAAATACCTACATTAAGAAAAAAAGTAAGATCTCAAACAACCTAATGTTACACCTAAAGGAACTAGAAAAAGCCCACAGTTAGCAGAAAGAAAGAAGTAACAGGCCAGGCACAGTGACTCAACGCCTGTAAGCCCAGCACTTTGGGAAGCCGAGGCAGGTGGATCACGAGCTCAAGAGTTCGAGACAAGCCTGGCCAACATAGTGAAACCCTGTCTTTACTAAAAATACAAAAATTAGCTGGGTGTGGTGGCGTGCACCTGTAGTCCCAGCTACTCGGGAGGCTGAGGTGGGAGAATTGCTTGAACCCGGGAGGGTTAGTACATTTTAGTAAGGTCAGTTCATTACCTTCAATGTTTTCTAGATGAGATACACCAGTTGTGACAAATGCTTGGTCTTAACATTGAATTGCAGGTCACCTCAGAATAAATTAAATTCTATTTTCCTTTTTTCATTCCAGTGCATTTTCCCCATTTTTCCTCTGTATTGAGGATGGCAAACAGCTACTTTATGCCTTGCAAATAAATTGGTTTCTGTGGTCATCATTACAAATCAAGCCAATTGGGTGCTGCTGTGCATATCAAAGCCTACAGCTTCTCCATGAATCCTAATACAGGCCAGTTGATTCTCTTCAAGAAACAATCAAACCATCCCTGCCTTCTCCACCATATCTTTGATGTTTCCCTGCACCTTTTCTTTCTTTTTAAAAAAACTTCTATTTTAGATTCAGATGTACATATGCAGGTTTATTATATAGGTAAATTGCGTGTCATGGGAGTTGGATATACAGATTATTTTGTCACCTAGGTAATAAGCATAGTACTTAATAGGTAGTTTTTCAATTCTCTCCCTCCTCCTCCCTCCCCACTCAGGGACCCAATGTCTGTTGTTCCCTTCTTTGTGTCCATATGTACTCAATGTTTAGATCTCATTCATAAGTGAGAACGTGGTATTTGGTTTGCTATTCCTGCATTAGTTCACTTAGGTTTATGGCCTCCAGCTCTATCTATGTTGCTGCCAAGGACATGTTATTTTTCTTTTTTCATGGGAGCATAGTATTCCATAGTGATTATATACCACATTTTCTTTATCCAGTCTACCATTGATGGGCATTTAGGTTGATTTCATGACTTTGCTATTGTGAATAGTGCTGCAGTGAACATATGTATGTGGCATGCATATGTCTTTATGGTAGAATGATTTATATTCCTTTTGGTATACACCCAACAATGGGATTACTGGGTTGAATGGTAGTTCTAAGTTCTTTGAGAAATCACCACACTACTTTCTACAATGGCTGAACTAATTTATGTTCCCACCAGCAGTGTATAAGTGTTCCCTTTTTCCCACAGCCTCATCAACAGCTGTTATTTTGAGTTTTTCGTAATAGCCATTCTGACTGGTGTGAGATGGTATCTTATTGTGGTTTTGATTTGTGTTTCTCTAATGATTAGTGACATTGAGCAGTTTTTCACATGCTTGTTGGCCACGTGTCTTCTTTTGAAAAGTGTCTGTTCTTGTCTTTTGCCAACTTTTTAATGGGGTTGTTTGTTTTTTGCTTGTTAATTTGCTTAAGTTCTTATAGATTCTGGATATTAGATCTTCATCAGATGCATAGTTTACAAATATATTCTCCCATTCTGTTGGTTGTCTGTTTACTCTTGAATAGTTCATTTTGCTGTGCAGAAGCTCTTTAATTTGGTTTCATTTGTCAATTTTTGTTTTTGTTGTAATTGGTTTTGGCATATTCTTTACGAAATCTTTGCCCATTCCTATGTACAGAATGATATTTCCTA